TTAGGGTGGGAGTTTCCACTGGGGTGCCTGGTCAGCCTGGGTGAGGGGCTGAGGGCTGTTTTCAGGCTGGTGGGTGCCTGAAGCTCCCAACGTCTCCTTTTTTTCTTTTCTTTTTTTATTCTGGGCCAGCTTTAGCTCTTAGGCTTGGCTTCAGCTCTAAAGCCTCAGCTGCTGAAAGCAGGTATCTGGTTTCTTTTGGTTCTATAATCGAAACACTGTATCAACTCCAGCTCTGAGATCCCGGCTAGCTGAAAGCAGGTTTCTGGGGTTTTGTTTAGCTTCTATATTTGTAACAATGTTTTAAACTGCAAGCTCAGAGGCCGGCAAGGCAGGCAGGGAACGTTGCAGTCCTCCGTCACTGAAGCAAGCAAGCCTCATGTTCGCTTCAAGCTGCCTGGCTGCCGGCCGCCATCTTGGCTGGCAATTAATTTGCATATCGCCCTGATTAGCCAATGGGAAGGGTAGTGGAAGTACAGCTAATTACCATGTTTTTCCTTTATTAGATAGGATAAGTGGAATCATACAACAGTTGTCCTTTTGTGCCTGGCTTCTTTCATCTAGCATCATTTTTTCAAGGTTCATTCATGTTGTAGTATATTTCAGAATTTTATTCCTTACTATAGCTGATGGGAGCAATGATGAGTATGAGTGAGTTGGAAGCAATGCATCTTCAACAGTGCCTACACAGGTTTCCATCTCACAAGTGCAAGAGCTGCCATAGGTTCTTTAGAACAGAGTGATTAGCTGCTGTAAATAAATCTAAGGAGTAAGGCTAAGCCCAGAGTTACTGAAAAATTCACCCTTTCTGAACCACAGGGATGACCTGGAGTTTGGAAAGAAAAGAAGCTCCTGTGAGAAACAAGGAGAGAGAATGAACAATTAATTTAGGTCTATTAATATCATTTAAAATAATACTACTTATGTACACACATTAAATGAAAGGCATTGTGCTTAACACTTTACAGTCATGGTACACTTAGTAATGACGATACATTCTGAGAAGTGCATCATTAGATTTCATCCTGTGCGAACACCACAGAGTACATTGCAGTACACACACCTAGATGCTCTAGCCCAGTGGTCGTCAAACTCCTTAGTCAACAGAGCCAAATATCAACAGTACAACGATTGAAATTTCTTTTGAGAGCCAAAGTTTTTAAACTTAAACTATATAGGTAGATACATTGTTATTAACTTAATTAGGGTACTCCTAAGGCTTAGGAAGAGCCACACTCAAGGGGCCAAAGAGCCGCATGTGGCTTGCGAGCCACAGTTTGCCAACCATGGCCTAGCCTACAACACAACCAGGCTGTATGGGATCGCCTCTTGATCTCAGAAAACTAGCCTGTATTACAAGGAACAAGCCTGTAGCATAAACATGTTACTGTATAAAACAGCATGAGATTACATAGAGCACAAGAGAAAATGATGCAACCAAGAGCCTCAGTGAGCACGACATGGACACCTTGGCCAATGTAGCTTAGCGCACCTTTCACAGCAAACTCCCTTCATAAACAGAAAGAGCACACCCTAAAATAACAATAAAGAGTACAGAATAGTAGCTCCAAACCAGTAATGTAGTCTTTTATTATAATCATTGTATGTGCTATTTCTTTATTCGGTTAATACTCACCCAAAAATATGTTTTCCACTGATTTTTAGAGACAGTGGAAGGGAGAGAGGGAGAGGAGACAGAGAGAGACAGAGAGAGAAACACTGATGTGAGAGATACACCTGGATTGGTTGCCTCCCACATGCACCCCAACCAGGGCCGGGAATCGAACCTTTAAACCAGGCATGTTCCATTGAACCAAAAACGAACCCACGACCCTTTTGTGCTCATAGTGATGCTCTAACCACTTAGCAACACATGCCAGGGTGCTATAATCCTTTTTTTTGCTTTGGATATTCATATTTTTCTTTTTAAAATTTCTTTATTGATTAAGGTATTACATATGTGTCCTTATACCCCTATTACTCCCCACACTACCCCCCCCGTCATCTGTGTCCATTGGTTAAGCTTATATGCATGCAACGAACCCACGCCTTTTGTGCTCATAGTGATGCTCTAACCACTTACCAACACATGCCAGGGTGCTATAATCCTTTTTTTTGCTTTGGATATTCATATTTTTCTTTTTAAAATTTCTTTATTGATTAAGGTATTACATATGTGTCCTTATACCACCATAACCCCCCGCTGTTTAGGAACTATGCAATCATGTAACCCATACTCACTAATTATACAATTAGTCATATTTCCATGTATTTTATATCAATCAATTG